TGATGACCTGAAAGTTATTTATTCCTGTTATGGTCATGAACTAAATGAGTTGGTAACCAATATTCATACTAAACTAAGCAACCTCGCATCATAGTATGTCGTTTCCTGTTTTAAGCCTTGCATTCACAAACGCGGCGAAAGTAATGTTGACCTGACTTTTGAATTTCATGACCTAAGGCTACCCAAACTTGACTCAGTCATAGACCTCGGCACTAGATGCACCAGAAATCTAACGTTTTTTAAAAAACTGATTATAATAGGTGTGAGACACACAAGCTCTCAGGCTGCATCCCTTGAAATTACTTTTGTTTTGAGATAGTGCTTTTACCATACCAACTGTGTTCACACCGTTCTAGAATGAACTCTGACTACATGGCAACATCAAGTTGGGGGAGGAGAGTGTAGCGATTCTTCGCTTTAAAAGCCCCTAACTCAGAATATGGTTCTCATCATGATGGGCATTGCGACGGACTTCAGACGGAACCGCTTTCTAAGAGACTTAGATAAATCTTGCCTGTTGCCTCGAATACTCCCCTGGAGTATTCTGGCATATTAGCCGAGTTACTTTTGGAATCATTCACAATCTTAAAAACTGAAACAACCTGATTGCTGAGTAGCGTTGTCAGATTTACATGCTGGTCAACTTCTTTAATGGGCTTTGACTTATTTGGGTCAGAGTACCAGATAATGAGTGAGACGATAACACACCTAAAGTTTTCAACTCCTCAGTCACAAGAGTCACCGAAGATAAAAATGATTTTCATCACCTAGATCCAGATAGGTGGCTTAATTGAATACCCTAGCGAATCGCAACGTTGTGGTCCCTCGCTGTGGTGATTTGACGAAAATTTATAGTTTTAATCTGGTTTCTAAATGACATTTGGTATCAGAATTTTTCCTTATGTACACATTATCAGTGGCACAATATTATTAAACTGAATTAAATTTGCTAAACTTTTATCGGAAAATTTTGCTTGATACTGATACCTACTGAATGTGCCGGATTGGAAGACGCAGTAAGTTCGAAAATGAAACTTATATTTTTGGATTCTCATGAAATGATCCTGGTATATTTGGATGATTTATTGAAACTTGGCATAACTCGCCTGAAAAATGGCCACCAAATCAGGTGGGCCAGGCTAAAGAGTCTGCAGTTAATGTGTCCAACTCCTGGGTCTAGCAGGACTGATAGCCACACATCAGTCATAAGCGTTATATCTGGTGGAAACTATCTAGGATCGAGTTCAAAGTCATTGAAGCAACCTAACTAATCGGTTTCCTGGAACTGGTGAGCCCGGTGTGATCGATGCTGATTCGGCTCCATCTTGCTCCAAATAGTCATCCAATGGCTGCCACGTCACATCGTCGTGTTTCCTGCCAAGAACTACACCCCGGCAGTAATTCTAGTGCGCCGACCACATTTGCCGTCTATGGTACTACACAGTTTAAACTTTCTGTCAGCTACTTAATATTAATTCGGTGGAAACATGGAAAGTAGTATTATCATAAGCTCCTAAACCTTATTTTTCGCCAAAAATAAGCAGAATCCCTAGTGCCTAGCACCAACAGATTCGATGTTATGAGATTTAAGTAAATGTTCTACTTGAGTTTAGCACAAGTAGGGTTAGGCCTATTAAATCAAGGAATTCTTAATTTTCAAGTGTTGGTTTTGTAGGGATTTTGTTTGTTTGGGCATCTAGGACGAAACAGCTGTCCAGTATTCACAGCATTTCCAGTGGTTCTCTAACTGATGTCAGTTCATGATGAAATCCTCCAACCACTTCTAGTTTTATTATCCACCATTTTTGCGTATTCTTCAGTCGATTTCTTGAAATGAATGTAAGTTATATCACAGTGATAACAAGACAAATTTTTATATGATCAGCGATGGGAAACAGATATATGTCGTTTATAGATAATATTTGATTTGAGCAACTTTGGAGGAAACAGATGTTCACTGTTTTATGGACTTGATAGACTGGACAAACGTTGTCATGTTACATTCAACTGTTCATGCACTTCCTAAATCAGATAAAGCCACATTTATAAGTATAATAAACAAACTTGGGATGCATGACACTTCCAGTACTTCGAATCCAATCCTTTCAGCAGGAAAATAATAAACAATTTAACTGATTTTTCTGGTTGATTCCTAAGATTCACTTTGAATTTCACCTGTCTAACATAAACGACCTTTCACATGAACTTTAGTCAAGATTCGACCAAGTAGTTCCAAAACAATTGGGAGCCGAGTGAGAATTAGACATATGTAAAAACTGAATCTTTAAAATTCCAGCGAATCTGAAATGCGCAATTCCTTCATTATATCTTGTGACACTCATAGTTTTCACCAGTAAATTCCCATGCCTCTTATCCTTACTTCATTGAAAAAAGCATAACCACCTTCTACAGGGGTTATGCGTACTTTAATCATCAAGTAGTATACTAAATTGAAGTGCATACCGAAACAATACCCTGTTAAATATCCGAAAATCTAATGAACTGAACACGGTGAACATTTGATGAGATGATATAAAACCACATATGTTATATAAACGAAACAAAAATCGCGGTAATAATTGAGAAGATTGAAAACTATTGCCGAAACGTCCACTGGACGCAGCTGCTAGTTTGTTATGCTACTTTGATTCTAGGTCCTTAGCATGGGACGACCTATCTGTGGATGAACACTGGGAAGTGGTAAAAAAGATTATCCATACAGCAATCTCGGATACCGTCCCTTTAGTCACAACACAGCCTAAGAGAAAGACGTCATGGTTGAAGAGAGGCACGCAACGTATTCTGCAAGCAAAGCGGAGGGCTTGGTTTACGTGGCGTGTATCTAAGAGTCAGACCGACCATGATGCATACCTCGAACTCAGGAACCGGTGTAATGCAAGAGTTAGGAGGGACAGAAGGTCATTCCAGGCTAACCTTGCTAAAAAACTCCTATCAAACCCTAAAAACTTGTACCGATTCATGTCGGAAAGAAAACCGACAAACCAAGGGGCATGCGCCTTAGTAGGCCCAAACGGTCAATATCTCACTAGTCTGGAGATGGCTGAAACATTCAGTTCAGCCTTCGCTAAACAGCTAAACAGCAATGTGGATATTACAGTTACGGACCAAAATGGTGGCACCACTATTTCAGAGGAGGAAGACCTAGCGACTACTCCCCAAATAAACCCCGCAATAGTACTAAGGAAGCTACAGCGACTCATACCTGGGAAGTCCCCAGGTTGTGATGACATCAGGCCATCTGTTCTGAAACAGTGCGCCGAGGCTCTCTGTAGACCCCTGTGCGACTTGTTCCAACACTCAATGGATTCGGGGACCCTGCCAAGGGAGTGGAAAAGAGCCATCCTTTCTCCAATCTTCAAGGGTGGGGACAGGCAAAACGCTGCTAGCTATAGACCAGTAGCTCTACTCCCAGTGGTATCAAAAGTACTGGAAAGTATTATTGACGACCACATCAGGGAATATTTCGATAGGACTAATATACTGCATGAAGCCCAACATGGTTTCAGAAAAGGCAGATCCTGCGTCACTAACCTACTGTCAGCTTGGGACGACTGGACATCATGCTGGGACTTGAACGTACCAGTCCATGTGGTCTTCCTAGACTTTGAGAAGGCATTTGACACTGTTCACCATGACCTTCTCCTACATAAAATAAGCCAGGCAGGCATAGGTGAGCCACTTCTGTCATGGTTGAAGGACTACCTAGCCGACAGGCAATTTTGCACTAAGGTTAACCGAGTCCGATCATCTTGGCACAGATCGTCATCAGGAGTGTCGCAGGGTTCTATCCTAGGACCACTGATGTTTTTGATTTTCATCAATGATCTACCACGCCGTCTGAGCTGCCCGACTCTCCTGTACGCTGACGACGTAAAAATATGGAGGGCGATAAAGTGTCCGGAGGACTCAGATAGGCTACAGGAAGACCTAAACCTTCTGGAAGACTGGGCGGTGGCCAGTGGCATGACTTTCAACTTGAAAAAGTGCAAAGTAGTGAAGTTGCGCACCTGTAGACTGCAGAATGCAAGTTACACCCTGTGCAATGAAAGCTTGTCCTGCACAACGTCGGAACGCGACTTAGGTCTAGTTCTAACGGAAAAAATGGACACAAGCGTAAATTACACAGGGGATGTAGCGAGGGCATATGCGGTCATACACTTTACGCATAGACAGTTAGGTGCACTCACTCCTGAGCTCTTTCTAATGTTGTACAAAACATACGTCAGGCCACACCTTGAGGTGCATAATATTATTGCACCCCCAATGCTGAGAAGAGATGCCAACCTCTTGGAAAGAGTCCAACGACGGGCAACAAAAGGAGTGGTTGGTCTCCGAAACAAACCATATGATGAAAGGCTGAAGAAATTAGGCCTGTTCACACTTAGTTACCGTCGGCTTAGGGGGGATTTGATTACTGCCTACAAAATAACAAATGACCAGAATCACCCAAACAAAGGTGTTCTGCCATTGAGTAGGTATAGGCTTCCACGTGGAAATCCCAGAAGGATAGCTCACCAGAGGGCAAGGACCCGGGTGCGCTCCCACTTCTTTTCACTGCGGGTTTGTCGTCCCTGGAATTCCTTACCGGCAGATGTAGCTATGGCACCGTCTTTGGACGCCTTTAAGCGAAGGCTGGACAACCATGCAGCGATACAAGGACTGCATCCAAATGGCCTATCTCCTTAAAATCGCATTTACCAATCAGGGTAGATAATTAAACTCGTCATTTTACTTCTTTACATTCTCTCCCGTCTTACTCTCCTGACAACTTATTAATATTATAATTACTATTATTATTATTATTACTATTACCGATATATATATTATTCTTCAAACTTCATGAGCTGACTGTTGTTACGTTTCCTATTTTCGTTTCTGTCTCTTAGTCTGAATAGCTTCACTAATTATATCTATTATTATTATTATTACTATTATTATTATTATTATTACTATCTCTTTTCTCTTGTCGACAATACCGAAGGACTAACTGGCGAAAGGATCAACTCCAATCACAGTAGTAACAGTCTTAACATACCTCATACTACAAACCACATATAATTAATCCCAGCACTACTCCCTTTGGAGTCAACCAAAGCTACGACAGTCGAGTGGCGGGACAAGCTACGCAGAAGTTTACCGAAGATCAAGAACCTATACCTCACAATCAAGAAGCGAGCACAAAGAAATCAAATTGGTTTATACTAGCTCGTAAAAACGATATTGGATATTGGATATTGGAGGTCACTGCTGTTGTCATGGTGAAGTTTTACAGCGCAATTTTGAATATTTTTACTATTGATGTGAGTTTCAGGGTTCGATTATTGAGGTGAAATTATCGAAAAGCATTCTTCGATGGTCATTTTCTGACAAATGCATGTTATACAGATGACAGAAAACTAGATTTCGTGTTTATGTTTCTTATACATTTGCACTATAGTATAAATGACTAGTTGAAGTTCCGTACAGCATAATATAAAGAAATTCAGGCGGTCAGTTTTGGTGTTGGCATATTAGTGAATAAAGCCAATGGAAATTTGAGACATAAAACCGCTGCTTAAAGATTCACGGAGTTATTTTTTAAAATTTACACATTTCAACTCCTAGAACATATAAATGAATGGTAGTATTGCGAAGGCCGGAAATCAGACTTGAAAACTCGACAAGCGTTTACTGAAGGGTGTCTTTTAGGTTTGAAGAGGTTGCAGAAAGCATGAAACACTTATTATTTTCTTAATTGTAAACATTAGTGCAGGATCCTTTACTATGCTGTGGACCAATGGTTGACTTCTTATTTTCCCAGTAATTCACTGCCTGTACTTTAACTATTACGGTTAATCATTCGCTGCCTTTATTTTAACAGCTTCCATAAAACACTCAAAATATTCCTCTTGATTTCTCTCCACGGAAATCTACAATTTCTCTTTTTCTTCGCCTTGTCCTCACTTTCAAACCTGCTAATTCATTTTGCAGCGGTTAAGATGCATTTCTAATAAAAACTGGCTGTTGCTGTCATTATAAGTTATCTGCTCATTGCGTTTAGCTAAGCCTGGTAAGGATTTTTCAACCACAAAGTAAAAACTCTAAAGAGCTTGAAATTATCTAGTAACTGGAATGAAATACTTTACATTGCGTCGTGACAAAGTTGTCCGATATGGAAAAGTACCAAACTGAACTTCTTAATACTCTGATTCCCCTAACTGCATTGATTTTTAACTCAACTATGATTTATTAAGCAATGTCAAAATGCTATCTCGTCTGCGGATAATAGTAATTAGCTTTCAGAAATATTCTCAGTGGGGAAAAAGTCAAGACATTTACTAATTTTTAACGTATTACATTTGTTGCACAGAAGGCAATACTTAAGACAGAACTTAAATAATGAACGAACAACCAATGGACTAATCAGTTTTTGTCTAAGTACGGAAGTTGTATTCATTTATCATAAATATTTCCACAAAGCATTTCCAATTTCACAGTTGTATTCCTTCCACTTCGATTTTGTGGCCAAAATGGACAAAACTTCGTGAAATAATAGTCACTATTTATAGGGTTTCTCATAGAATAAAAATGCAATACACTTTCCTACTGATCTACTTTCAAATGTCTAGGGATAATTTCGAATTTTAAGATTTCTAGGGGTAATACGCAATTAATAGGAGTGATTTATCCGGACTTAAAGCTATAAACCATTTGCTTAAACTTGCTAAAACACTGCCTGTGAAAACAAGCATATAAGTGGATGAGAGTCACATGGTAATTTCAGTACGACATTAATTTTGCAACATTTAAGGTACGGACGACTATTTACTTATATTATTTATTTTTTAAATTTTATTATAGTTTGATTCCGCACAGAATTTCGGTACAAGTATGGAATTTTGAGCATGTGTTATCGTTAGCCCAACTTTAGCAGGCCGACCAGTGATATCAGCTGTGCTTTGGCCGGGTATCTAACCACGGACCGTGTGTATGATCGGCGAGCGTCCTAACCTCTGTGGCGCAGGCGCACATGTTATGTTATACAACTTGGCTAATTTCCATCTAGTCATCAAGGTGACACGCTAGTGTGAACATTTAGGTTAACAAAAACTACTAATATTATTATAGAATTTAAGCAGTGTGATTGATTTTGTTGTGATTTATTTTAACACTTCAGATAATTGATTTGAATGCATTTCTCCTTTCCTTAACACTTTGACGTGACAGAGCTTTCGTTGAGGTCTGCCCCACAATATTAAAAGACAACGTGTTCTGATTTCTTTTCACCAGAATAGCACATCACTCATATCTATACATGTCACAGAAGTAAATATATATGTGGGATGTCAACCTTCTCGAAAAATCGTTGTTACTAGGAATACACTGGGTAATAATGTAACAAAATTGATTTTCAGTAAATTTTCAACAAACTGTTTGCTTATCTATGGAAGTTATCTTAAGGTATCCTTTACTTTTAAATTTTCCAATTTGTTTCGCAAGCTAATGATTTGCCAGTTGTTATTAGTAGCAAGCTATACGGGAGGGAGCATGTAAAGCACAGTAATTGTATATGTTTTATTTAACGCAAAAAATGAATGCCTACCATTTCATATGAAAACATTTTTATTTGATTTAAACCATTAAAACTGATATCCTTATGGGGTCTTTTATTACGTTCTTATGTTTCAGTTTCTTCTTTGTGTCCACTGAACATTTAAGAACTATGGTGCTGGAAAATACCAAGTAAGGAAAGCAATTTTTCGTATATATTTTTATGCCGACCTAGAACGAATAAACTTATTAGTATATTTTTATATGTAGTAATTATTTTCATCATTGATCATTTATTAATTTATTTAAGTATCTATGAAAGAAACATCTGCTGAAACATCAAGTTGATATCAACTTGATATGATTATGAGTAATAGTTTGCGCTCGAAACATCATCAGTCAATATTACTGTATAACACTGTGTGATTTGTCAAAATAAAATCTTATCCATAATGGATTCATTTAGAGAAGAATACAACCACAACCTTTGTAGTCCAGTACACCAGGGAAATTGTTCTCTTTATTCAAGTATTGGTTTTTAGGGATTTGGTTAAATGGTTACAGGATTTCATCATGAGCTGGCATCGCTAAGTAAACCATTTGAAAATGAAACGCTCACTAGCGACTGACCGTATTCAGGTAAGTAGTAACCTGGGTTATAGTGGGAATTCGTGACCAGTCTGGTGTAGCAGGTCGGGTGTGAGGACAGATACTCGTCAGAGACATTGGCTAGCGGTTGCACTATGTCGCCAATTAGCAAAAGTTAGTATTCATGGACTATTGGATCGGGTCCCAGTGGCTTAATGGTCTACAAGCTCGCCTTGTAACCAGAAGGTCCTGGGTTCTAAACTTTGTGTTGGGTGCGTACTGACGAAGAGTCCCAAACTCGGCCGAAACAGCTATCTTGTTTTCTTTATTGTTACTTCTTTGACTGCTACATTATTTACTACCTGTATTTAGTTTTTATTTTCTTATAAAAAGTGAACCACTACATCAAAAGTAGCAGAGATATATCAAAGTTAATTACGACCAGGATTTAAAAATCCTGTGACAGTTTGTAGTTCATATCAGATTATGAATATTTGAACTCCACGGAAATTTTTTGTGTATTTGTGGGCTTAATCATCCTGATTATCTTCTCGTGTGTAGCCATATTTGTAATTCCATTAGCGTTGACTTCTTTACATTTCCTACTGATTATAAAAACATTATTCTGGATTCTTATAATAATTATCAAATAATTACAGCATAATAAAAATTATTAAGATATGCAATGTTTAATATGTTCCGAGAAAAGTGGATTTGATAATTTTACTTGTTGTCATTTAGTGGAGTCTGATCAGCAGCAAACATTAGCTACCGATGATAGAATTAATGATAGAATATTGAAGCAACTTATAGTTGAAATGAAACCAGAGATTTTGGAAATATGGACATCTGGTGCGAGGTATGATATTCCTTTTTAAAATAAGAAACAGAAACTGTGTGATTCGGGTTGCACAAACCAGACATTTCCTTCATTTGCAGATATCGACAAAATTTGAAATCTTCTAAGCACGTTTTACAAAAATAGAGTATGTTTGACATAAATTTCAATCCTGTCAAATGTAAAAATACTACAGGACTGGTCTGCACTGTCCCCTACTGTAAGAACAAAATGCTAAGTAGCCAAATGCGTTGATCACTCCACTTATTTGTAGAGCTGATTTACTGCTAGAAGACTGGTTGCTGGCTAGATTTCTGTATGGATACAAAATACTTGTTTGAGATTTGTCAATTTATGTGATCTTCAGTGGGGTGTGATATGCAGATGTCCGTTATATGGTGTGTGTACTGCGCAGTAGTCGGCTTTTGAACTTTAAACCCCTAAGGCACGAAAACTGAAGGTAGATATAAGAGACCACATGTTTCACAACAGACGTGTGGTACTTACTAGAATTTGCTAAATTTCTCAAAACTCACATAAATGATTCTAAATGACGAGATTTTTGACGGCAATACACATTTAAAAATCTATATTACTATTATGTTTTTCAGTAGTTAAACAAATGGAAGGTAATTTATTCGTCATTGAGAAACTTATTATTAACCTAGAACTTGGTAATAAGGTAAACTGTTTCGAACGGTTTCAAGTCGCTTCATCAAGAATCCAAGCGTACTGATTCTAGGCATATGGAGAGTCTCAGTCAAGGGGTCTACGTTTCCCTATTAAACTCAGACCAACATTTAATGACTTCAAGGACCAATGTCATGTTTTCATCTGATTACCACAAATTTTACCCTTCATAATCCTATTTCAGATAATTCTTATGGCTGCGCAAGACAGTGTCTTGGCACACTTACGAAGTATCATAGCCACCCAAACCAATTAAGCTTTATAATCTCAATGACTGACTTTTCCTCATTGTCTAAAACTCCATGCTTAACCACATCATTACGTAGTATAACTGCATCTAACATGAAAAACTAAACAAAGGCACCTGTGATTTCTTATATCTGCCTTCAGCTGTACAGCACACACACCATATAACGGACATCTGCATATCACACCCCACTGAAGATCACATAAATTGACAAATCTCAAACAAGTATTTTGTATCCATACAGAAATCTAGCCAGCAACCAGTCTTCTAGCAGTAAATCAGCTCTACAAATAAGTGGAGTGATCAACGCATTTGGCTACTTAGCATTTTGTTCTTACAGTAGGGGACAGTGCAGACCAGTCCTGTAGTATTTTTACATTTGACAGGATTGAAATTTATGTCAAACATACTCTATTTTTGTAAAACGTGCTTAGAAGATTTCAAATTTTCTCATCATTTGTAAATGGAGGGAGCATAATACCTGTGTACTTAAAATCTACGAGGCAATTTCGTGATGGCTAGTTGATCTCTGAAAGGTCGAAACCAAACAGAGTCACATTCACAGATAGTAAGATTTGACCATTTTGGCATTTCACCTTTATTTTCGTCTGCCACCAATGTTTGTGGTTATGACAATGATTTACAATCGGTTTGCGTGGATTATTTTACTCAAAGTTCACTGGGTTAGGAAGAAAATAAAAGAGATTCAGCGAAGAAAATTTCCTTTTTCGACGAAATCATCTTCAGAGGCTGTACAGTCGTATTTATACTTAGAAAAATGTACAGTGGTCTATTATTCAGTGATATGGAGTGACATAATTGATATAATTAATCATAAGTGGCTTTAGAAGTTAAAATTAAAAGTTGTAAATTACATGGTACTCAACGGAATAAAGGTAGAAGTTTGATAAGGTTAAAATTACTCTTGAGTGAGAATGAAGGTATTTGAGTGTCAATTTAACAAGTGTGAAGAGGGTGTGAAAATATACAAAAGGAGCATATGAGATTGATAATAGTGAATTAATTATTAAAGCAAAAGCAAATTAAAAGTAAAATTAAAAATTAAAAACAAAAGAAAAAATCAAAAATTTTTACAGGGAACGATTAGTGAAGAGATTAAGACCAAGGTAGAATACGAAACTGGACAAAGTTTTTCTGTATACAGAGTTCAGGGTTGTATTGACGAATTGCCAGTGCCTCCGCCATACACAAAAGCCGAAACCTGATGCCCTGTGTACCATTTGGTTTCACTTTGTAGATGATGTTGAAAGACGACTCTGGTGGAGCTACGTGACCTGAGTTCACCAAATGTTCGAGAATTGAGCTAGTAATTATCCATAGCTGGGTCCCTTTGGAAAGAAAGAGAAATCTGGTCCATTCCTTATCCTCAAGAATAAGGAGGATATGTTCAAGTGATACAATCGATGGGGAACTGGAGCGACTCAAACAAGTTCTCATAGAGAATGGATATCCTCCAAGATTTATCGAGAAAAACATGAAGTTAAGAGAAAAGCCTGAAAGAATCCAGACAATGCCGAAGAAACTGCTCTCTATGAGTGTTGAATTTAAAGGTGATACTGCAGCTGAGATCCTGAGGAATCGCTTATGCAGATCATTGAGGAAAGCTTTCTTTATGGCTGAGCTACGTATCAATTTCTACAGCCAACAAATGATCAACAGATGTGTGAAGAATAAACTGCCGCTTTGGGCCACCTCAATGTGTGTTTTTAAATTCACCTGCTCGTGTGAAGCTAGTTATATTGGCCGCACAAAGAGCACGATTTCCAAACGCATCTCCGAACATTATCCGGCATGGTTAGCAAAGGGACAATGTAAGACAATTACTAGCTCAATTCTCGAACATTTGGTGAACTCAGGTCACGTAGCTCCACCAGAGTCGTCTTTCAACATCATCTACAAAGTGAAACCAAATGGTACACAGGGCATCAGGTTTCGGCTTTTGTGTATGGCGGAGGCACTGGCAATTCGTCAATACAACCCTGAACTCTGTATACAGAAAAACTTTGTCCAGTCTCGTATTCTACCTTGGTCTTAATCTCTTCACTAATTGTTCCCTGTAAAAAATTTTTGATCTTTTGCTTTTAATTTTTAATTTTACTTTTAGTTTGCTTTTGCTTTAATAATTAATTCACTATTATCAGTTTCATACGCTCCTTTTATATATTTTCACACCCTCTTCACACTTGTTAAATTCACACTCGAATACCTTCATTCTCACTCAAGAGTAATTTTAACCTTATCAAACTTCTACCTTTGTTCCGTTGAGTACCATGTAATTTACAACTTTTAATTTTCACTTCTAAAGCCACTTATGATTAATTATATCAATTATGTCACTCCATATCACTGAATAATAGACCATTGTACATTTTTCTAAGTATAAATACGACTGTACAGCCTCTGAAGATGATTTCGTCGAAAAAGGAAATTTTCTTCGCTGAATCTGTCTTTTAATTTCTTCATGACTCAATGGGTATTTTCGGTGATTTCACTGGGTTAGTTTCCTGATATTGACTAGTTTAAGTGAAACCACGAAGATATGTTGGAAACTGTAAATTTGTTTTGCAAGTTTTCACTCACTTCCACCACTATTTTCATAACTAACTTGTCACTGCACTTGGCTTCTTTACTTTCAGTGCTGCTGTTGTGCTGGGATAAATAGTTAGTTAACTCTTTTCTAAGCACACAGTTTACATTTTTTTTAGACAACTAGATATTTAACATCTTTGCAGCCACTTATTTATTGCATTCATTTAGTCAGAAACATATACACATACTACTTATGGTTAGGATCCACGTATGTTTTTC